ATTAAAAAAAAAAAAAAAAAAAAAAAAGAAAGACTCAATAATGTTAAACAGATCACTTTATATTGCCACAATCCCCAAGGGAAACAACAAGAAACTGGTAGACTCAACTCTGTAAGAACTCTGAAAAGCAATTGGAGTATTACAACAATGGAGCAAATGCTGAATGAATGAGAAAAACGCAACTTTTAAACGGCAGGAAAACGTTTATTTTTGACTGCCGGTACCCCTCCCTCTTCCCAGCTCAGCTGCAGCAGTGATGGCAGCAGTAGACCATGGGCTGCACTCTCAGAGATGGGGCCTGACCTCTGGCTTTGGAGTGAGTGAGCAGACCAGATTTTGCTAGTGGATTATTTGTGTGTGTGTGTTCTGATCTGTCTGGGGGCTGCCTGAAGGACAGAATCAGGGCGCTCACACAGGCTAAGGAGGAGTGGTGAGCAATGCATGAAAGTTGTGAGTGTCCTTAGTTATATGGGGCTAAGCAGTGCCATTAGAGTATGTGCCTAATGCCTAAGGGCTGAAGGACAAGCCTGAGTGAGAGTTTCTTTCAGAAATTAATGCTTTCGAAAGCACGGCGTATATGGGGGAATTGAGAACCCCACACACACACTGAGGAAAAACTGTATGCACAGAAAAAACCAGGAAGACCCTATGCTTTCACCTTGGGATGCTCTCTAAGCATACTGAAAACAAGCCTAATTTGAAATGTTGAAATGAATTGGAAGGCACCTGGCTTTTGTTTTTACCATCAGAAATATTCATGGATCTTTTTTATGCAGCAGATTTCCGTGTCCAGTTGCCAGGTCCACAGGTGCTGACAGTCAGTTGCACTGAGGGCGGCAGCTGGACCCCACATTTCTGTATCCAATCTTGAGGTCAGTGGAAGGCAAGAGGTAGTTCTGATGTTCACTTTCTGATTCTTGGGTTGCAGCTACACTGCTATTTTCTTGACTACAATCATTCTAATGTCAGGCTTCTGATTTCTTTCCTTCCCGATTAGATAAGCAGAGTATCCCAGGTGGGTCCAATTTATATCATTCTCTGAGTTATTCTTGGAGACTCAGCCTAGAGCCCATGATCCACGATCCTATAACACTTCAATGACTTTATAAGCACTCAGTTTTATGAATTTACTGCATTTCTGCTTAAAACACTTATGGTGGTTTCTTTTCCCCCACAAAGAAATTTGATTAATACAATAGATAATTAAATGTAGTCTTGATCCTGGAATAGCTATGATACTGGACCTCTTATACTCATGTGGATAGACAGAAAACATCTTCAGTCCCAAATGAAAGCATCACAACTGATTTCTAATATAGAAGTAAGAATTATTTTTTCCTTTTTGAATAATTAATTTTCTCTAAGAAGTCCTCTGCCTCATCCTTGTAACAGAATGAATGAGAATCTCATCTAGCATCTGTTTGTTGACAACATGGAATTTTCTAGCAGGTTTTTTCCACAGTAGAAAGAAATTATTTCACTTTTCTTTTAAAGAAGAGAAACATCGACTTTATCTCCAGAGCAATCTCCAGATAACCAAAGTATAGTTATTGCCTATAATAATTTAACATAAAAATTTTAAATATATTTAAATCAAACATTTTTCCACCAGGTTTTATTTGGAACTATACTAGTAATTAAAAAACATTCTATAATTATCGAAGTAATATTTCACTGAATAAACACGAGTTGAAAAAGAATGATGGCTAGAGAATACAAAAATACATAATTCTATCAGCTTGGGATAGCCACTGTTAATGTTTTAGTGTATTTCACTCAAGTTTTTTTCCTAGTCATGTATCACTATTTCCTACTAACATTACACTGGATTTATATTTTCAGGCCTTTAAAAATATGCTCCCAAAGAATTAGCAAGTCCACACAATAGTCTATCATGTCAATAAAGCATATTTAATTAACTGTGTCCTACTAACTAAAATTTGGATGGTTTCTGTTTCTCATATGATTAATATCTTTGTACAAAAATTCTTTACAATTTTTTTTTACTATTTTCTTTGTCAGACTCTTGGAAGTGAAAGACTAGGTCATGATGTACAAAAGTTTTTAGTGCCCATAATAAATATTGTCAACTTATTTTCTGGAAAGCTATGCTAATTTATGTTCCCATTACAGGCAGCATTTGAGAGTACCTCTCTTACTTGCCCCTCTACAGTATTAATTGTTATTTTAAAACCCAATTATAATATGTAACAGTGTTTTAAAATATAAATGTGGGATGGTATTATTTCCAAAAGACTTTATTATTCTATGTTATGTAAAGGATTATTTCTATTCTCAGAATTTTATTAGTTATACTTCCAATGGTGTAGTGGTTAAGAATTACGGCTGCTAACCAAAAGGTCTGCAGTTTGAATCCACCAGGCACTTCTTGGAAACCCTACAGGGCAGTTCTACTCTATGCTGTAGGGTCACCATGAGTCGCAATTGACTCAACAGCGACGGATTTTTACAGGTCCAGTATATGGTGGCTTCTTAGCATATGAAGTATCTAAATTTTCATTTACAAAAAGAAATACTTTTCCTTATTAAAACATATTAAAGTTTGATGATGGGTTTAAAAATGTCAAGTGATGGCACACACAACTTCTAGGGGAAAAAGTAAAGTATCTTTTTATTTCTGCATTACTTATTTAGAATATATATGCTAATTTTCCCAACTCACTCCCTCAGTCTAAACAATATCCCCTTTATTTTCTGAATCTAGTGTGGGGTAGAGGTGGTTTCAAAAGTGGAGATATCACCATTCAGCCATATGCCTGGCACCTTAAATCTTCTGGGCTCAAAAATCTCTCCAGACATATTTGAAATTATTTTGGTTTAAAAAGTTCCCCTTTGAAAATGCAAATTGTCCTGGGATAGAATGAGCCTTATTCACAAATAGAGCATATTTCTTTTAAAAGATACAATTATATTTAGCTGAGTGCCCCAGGAAACAGAGTTTTGATTGGAATCACTACGATAGTGTATTGATACAGGGAGAGAACCGACTTTAAATAGCCAGTAAACTACATGGTGTCAGAATCCTGGGTGACTGGAGGAGACAGCTGGGGCTATTAGTGCTAGGAAATTAGTTCAGAAAAGGATTACTCACAAACACAAAACTTGCTTTTTCTGACTTTTGTTTTGGTAGTAGAAATTGCAGTATTAAATTGATGTGGTCAGGGACAAGTAACATAATTCAAAGCTAGGATGGTCTAGTTTATCTAGTTGTCTTACTATTCTAACCTCTTCTGTCCAAGGAGAAGGGACAGAGGGGGTAGGGGTAGAGAATGGCCAATGGGAAATGCATGCAGGTACCCAATATTCTTTCTTTAAAAACAAAATTTATTGTACAATATAACCAGTGTTCTTCTGATTTTCCTGTTTTATCAACTTTTAGAATCCTTCTTCAAATGTTGTAACTTCGCTGCCTGTCAGATCAGAATTAATTCTACTCTATACTCTTTTTTTTTTTAATGTTGTTTTTGTTGTACTTTACGTGAAGATTTACAGAACAAATAGTTTCTCATTAAAGAGTACACATATTGTTTTATGACAATGGTTAACAACCCCATGACATGTCAACACTGTCCCTTCTCTACCTTGGGTTCCCTATTACCAGCTTTCCTGTCCCCTCCTGCTTTCTAGTCCCTGTCCCTGGACTGTTGTGCCCCATTAGTCCCATTTTGTTTTATGGGGCTCTCTAATCTTTAGCTGAAGTGTGAATCTCAGGAGTGACTTCATTACTGAGCTAAAACGGTCTACTCTATTCTCTTGATTCCTAAGCTCTGTGTAGGCTGTCAGAGAAGAGCCCCCTCTTGTTTTTAAACTTGGTTCAAATTGAACTTGATACTGAGGCTTTACAGAGCTCTGTTTAAGTGCCTCTTTATCTCTCTGTGGTGATTTGCCAGTCATTGCAGCATTTTTCTACCCCCTTAAATTTTATTTTACTATCCTATAAATATATACATTTTTTAAATGTAGATATAAAAAGAAAATAATGACCGGTAATCCCACTGAAAAAAGATAACCACTGTTTAGTTTTGTGACTTCTTAGAACACTTATTTCCACCAGACTACTTTTCATCAAATTATTATCCTAAAATTCCCAAAACACTTGATTTATTGCTTTGTTTTTTAGGAAATACGTTATGACAGAACCTAGAGAATCACTTGTGAATGCAGTATGCTATTGGCACACAGTAGGCATATAACAAATATTGACTTCTTTTTACATTCCTCACAATAACATAAAGAAAGGCTTTTAAATAGCTGAAGAAATGAAATATTAAGGAAATACAATAAAATATTTTTTAATTCTCCATAGCCTGTTATAATCACATCAATATTGGCCTTATTTATGCTCCCAAAACTTCTGTGTCATGATCTCCACAATGTAGTATAATAGAAAGAGAATGAGCATCAGAATCAAACTGGTTTTGGCAAGTTAGTAGTTATTCAACATTCTAAGTTACAGTTTCCACAATTCTACCTCAAAGGACTGGTGTGAGGAACAATGAGAAATATTGTTGGTGATCAACAAATGTTTATATTCTTATCCCTTCATCTCATCTCATGCTCCCCAAAGGACAGAATTCCTTGGCCCCAGAGTCATACATCATATGCCTTCATGTGGCTAATGTTCTGATTTTAGAGAAGAGGAGGGGAAATTGTTTTCTGCTCTTAGTAATGGGTGCCTCACTGGAATCAGGAGAGAGATTGAGGCAGAAACATCTCATTCCACAGACTAAGAAAGAAATGGAAAGATTCCTTCTGTTACCCCGCTAAGTGTAAGAGAAGAGTTATGTGGTAACCTTCCTTTGAAATCAGTCTGACAGTGGTAGAATCATTGAAGTGAGGGCAGGGTTTGGTCCCGATGCCAGGATCAGGTATCACTGTCACAGTAAGAAGAATGTTTTCCCACTGCCAAAAAGTTTACCCAAAGCTTCCTTCATGTCTTTGTTCCTTAAGCTATAGATGAATGGGTTTAGCATGGGAATAATCACCATATAGAGAATGGCAGCCTTACTGTCCCTCTCTGTAGAGTAAGCTGATGGAGGAAGTAAATACACACCCATAAGGGACTCATAGAAGAGCAAGACCACCGTGAGATGAGAGCCACAGGTGGAGAAGGCCTTCCACCGCCCTCCAGGAGATGAGATGCTAAACACAGCCCAGGAAATGCGGACAGAGGAGAGGACAATCAGTAGGAGGGGAGCAGTGAGAAACATCAGGCCCATAGTGATGATCATTAGCTCGTTAATGTGGGTATCTGAGCAAGCAAGCTTCAGTAGTGCACCGGGATCACAGTAGAAGTGGGGGATAGCTTTCTGGGCACAGAAAGCCAGACAATTCAGCGGTAATGTGTGCATCAGTGCAGGGCAGTTGGTTAGCAGCCAGCACATGCCCAGCATTAATGCACAGAGTTCGCTACTCATAGCTGTGCTATAGTGGAGTGGCTGGCAAATAGCAACATTTCGGTCATATGCCATTACAGCCAGGAGGCAATTGTCAAGGCCACCAAACACGAGAAGGAAATACAGCTGTGTAAGGCACCCAGAATAGGAAATGGCCTGGCTTTGACTATAAACGTTGGCCAGCATTTTGGGGATTGAAGCAGAAGTGAAACAAGCATCAGTTAATGACAGATTGGCCAGAAAGAAGTACATAGGAGTGTGAAGGTGTGGGTCAGAGCTGATGGTCAAGATTATGAGCAAGTTCCCCACCACAGTGACCAGGTACATGCCCAGGAAGATGCCAAATAAGAGAAGCTGCTCTTCCGGCTGCTCAGAGAGTCCTAGAAAGAGGAAGTCTGAAACAGTGGTTTGGTTCACTCTGCCTGGTTTCCCCATCCCTTGCAGTCCTTGTTATCTGTGTAGATAAAACCCTTACATGTGTCAGTATTTAATTATTAATTCACAGATATGTATCTACTACTATCTGAGTTAGCAGAACTGTGGTGTGTTAAACAGGGAATTAGTAGCCCTTGTCAATGAGAATCTTTGGATATCAATGGGAATACAAGAAAATACTCGTGGGACATTTAGCTAAAGGTCAAGATAATATCCATTCAAATATAAATTGTGCCTTCTGTGCTATAGTAGGGGCCAGAGAAAAGATATCAGTTTGATCAGAGAAGTCAGCGTGGGCTATTTGGAGATGGTGAGAATTGGGCATGGCCTAGATGGCAAGGTAGGAAAAATCATTTATGCTGTCAATTGGAAAGGAGTTGCATGATCTCTATCACTTGCTTTCCCCCTCCCCCAACAATGCGCGCACACACACACACACACACACACACACACAAACAAACACACACAGAAACTAGAGCCTTCTGTGTGGGGCACTAAGAATGACTTCAAAGGATAAGATAGCCTTCTCTCTACTTGCCTCCACAATCCCAAGAACTTCATCTCACACATGTAGCTCCAGTCCCTGGGCTCTTCTCTAACAGGGGACATAGGATACGTGGGCTGAGCACAGTGAGTGTCTGTTGTGTCCTATTATCCTCATGCACTGTTAGGACCTCCTCTCTACAAACAGGACAGGGGGCTACCCTCTCCCCTCCATCATTCTCTATTACCCCTGCCCTCCCTTTTGCACCTCTGTACCTCTCTGCTCTGGAAACTGATAGTTTAGTCTCCCTGATCTCTTAGACATCATCATGATTAGTAGTTATTTACAAAGGCTTGTCAGACACCTATTACACTCCACAATTGTGCAAATGATGAAACTCAGTCTCAGAGATATCTGATGTACCCAAGATCATATAGCTAGTAAAAGATTCAAAATGTAAGTCTGTTGGACTCCAAATCCTGTGCCTTCACCCCTACATTGTACTATATCTCTCTGATACTTGCTTCTTATCAGAGAGGGAAGGTGAAAAAAATCAGGCTCTGGCTCTTTGGACTTGAAAATAACTCCTCTTGTTTTTGGATCTTCTAGGATTTAGAGCAAGCTGGTGTGAGAAGCCAGCTCATATTGGCTTTATAGAAGCTGTGACCTTAGAAACTTTTGTGAATATTTTAGTCCTCTGTTATTCTTTGGTTCATAGAAAAGGCTTCTATCTTAGCCAGAGACTCAGCTTACCTACCGCATAACTTTGCCTGGTCACTGAGCTGGAAATGGAGGGATGAGTGTGTTCGTGCATGTGTGTGTGTATACGTGTGTGTGTTCTACACCTTCTAGCTCCTCACCTGCCAGGGTATGGGTCAGTTTCAGGCATCTTCACATTCTCCAATTCTCACCTCTGGATGGAAAATTCACAGTGAGGGACTCTCTGAGACCTTTCTGACTCAGAAACAGTAAAGTTGGGGTCTACTGAGTCCAGATTTGATTAGAGACAACTAGGGCGTATGACTCATTTTCATTTTCCCCTGGCCTGAGAAGGCAGGAGTATTTCTTAGGGTTATAAAGCCTCTTGGAAACCATCCCCCAAAGTATTCATTAGAGCCAACCTCAGTATCATTGTTCAGCCTGTTCTCCAGCCAACTCTGGCTGGGTCCTGGGGGAAGAGGGGATCTTTTTCCCAGGGGTTAACTTCTTTAATGTGGCTCTCAGGGGTGTGATTCTGAAGCCTCTTGCTGAGATGGAGTGCACTTCAACCTGACATGCAGGCCTCCTGGGAAATCTCTTCTGTGTACTGTGCAATTCAGTGCCTGCCCTGTGCCCTAGGATTGAGAAGAAGTCAGGATCTTATGTTATAACATGAGCATTTCTGCTGGCCATTTCACTAAACAGAGTAAACCTAATTTGAAGCTACCACCCAAACAAGTCCAAAACTCTCTTAGTTAAATAAGGCAGGCTATATAAAGCACACCAGCCATAATGCTGATACATAGCAGCTGCTAAAAGAATTACTCACAACACCTGCATTTCTGTTAATACTAGCTAGTACGTATTGAGAAGCACTGGTGGCGTAGTGTTTAAGAGCTATGGCTGCTAACCAAAAGGTCAGCACTTCAAATCCACCAGTCGCTCCTTGGAAACCCTATAGGGCAGTTCTACCCTGTCCTATAGGGTTGCTATGAGTTGGAATCTACTCGACAGCAATGGGTGGTGGTGGTGGTAGTCCTTACTGAATACTTTCATTACACAATCTCAAATAACTTCACAAAAAGCTTAGGACATAGGAATTATTATTATCAGCATTTTCAAGATGAAAAAACCAAGGCTCAGTGGGGATAGTAACTTGCCAAAGATCATACAACTACTAAATGAAGATGAAATTCCAACCTAGTTTTGCATGACTCTAGAGTCTAGGCTCTTAACCACTATACTTCATCCCACTATCATTGTTGATTTTAATCACTGAGAATTTCATAGATATAATATTTCATTATTTTAACTTGCATTTATTTGGCTACTAGTAAGATTGAACATTGTTTCACCATGGGTAATTATTCTCCAAATTGTTCTGTTAATATATCTGTCCTTTTTCTGTTGGGATGTTCGTGCTTTTTCCAATAGATATTAAAGGCCAACAAAACAAAATGTAAATTTTTATTCTGTGTGTTATTTATTTGCCCTTGTGATTTCATTATGTATAGAAGTTAAAAAAATATTTTTTAGCCAAAATGAGCAGATATTTTACTTTGTGATTTAATCTATTATTTTTATATGCAAAATTCCTGTCTATACCATAGACCAGGGATATTCCACTTAGTTAGTTCTTTAAATTTTAAATACTACATTTAAATATTTATCTGCAATTTATTTTGTGGTACAGTGGGAGAGAGAGATCTATCTTTACTTTAAATTTTTCACAAATACCTAGTTTTATCAGTGACTTTTTAAAATAACTTCAGCATTCTCCATCTGTTTATTAGGTCTGAGCACATACACGTAGCCTTTCCGTTTCACTTGGTTTGCCAACAGCATGGCAGCAGGGTTCTGAAAGGGAGCAACTTGAGGGCAAACATTTGAAGAGATCAGGTTGGAATCCTCATGCTCTCATATAATCTAGCTTTGGAAATCCCAGAATGTCATTTTCACTGCCTTCTACTGGTCAAACAAGTCACTAAGGCCAGGACAATCACTAAGGGAAAGGAATTAAGCTCCTCCTCTCAATAAAAGGACTAGCAAAGAATTTTTGGCCATCTTTAATTTTCCACAGAGCCCTGGGGGCACAGTGGTTAAGAGCTGGGCTGCTAATCAAAAGGTCGGCAGTTCAAATCCACCAGCCACTTCTTGGGAACCCCATAGGGTAGTTCTACTCTGTCCTATATGGTCACTATGAGTCGGAATCGACTCAACTGCAGTGGGTTTGTTTTTTAATTTTCCACAGGCTGCACTCTTGACACAAATTATTTACATTTCTCCCACATTCAAAATACACTCACCCCTTTCCAAGACCCTCAGAATCTTATCCCATTGCAGTATCAGGTCAAAGTCCAAGATCTTTCCATCTAAATCAAGTCTGGGTGAAAATGAGTTTCCTCCAATGCAGTTCCTTATTTATTGTTTCTCTCAGTCTGAATACCTGTAAACTTAAGGGGCAACTTGTCCCCCTCTCACTCAACATACACTTATCCAACATGATGGTGATACAAGCATAGGATAACTGCAATAGATACTCCCAGTCCTGGGAGAGGGAGTTAAGGTGGACATGTATTACAAACCTATATTTTATTTTTTCTCATTGCTGATCATATTCCACTGATAAGTATATAACTCATCTATTCTACTGTTGATGAGCATTTAGATGATTTCCAGTTTCTGCTTTTACAAATAGTTGTAATATAAACATTCTACTACATGTCTTTTGGAAAATCCAAACATTTTGTTTGGATACATGCCTAGAAGTGGAACTTTTGGGTTTTAGGTTGTGCATATGTTCAGCTTTAGTTTTGCAAAGTGATTGCACTGATTCACTCTTTCAAGAGTGGTATATGGGAATTCTGGTTGTTCTTATCCCATCAACACTTGATATAGTCTTCTTTCATTTTAGCTATTCTGGTAGGTGTGTAGTACTAACATACTGAAGTTTAAAATTAAATTTCCCTGATGACTAATGAAGCTGAAAATCTGTTAATAATTTATTGAAATATATGATATTACCTTCTGTTTTAGTCATCTAGTGCTGCTCCAACAGAAATACCACAAGTGGATGGCTTTAACAAAGAGAAATTTATTCTCTCACAGTCCAGTAGGCTACAAGTCCAAATTCAGGGCATCAGCTCCAGGAGAAGGCTTTCTCTCTCTGTCAGCTCTGGAGGAAGATCTTTGTGATGCATCAATCTTCCCTTGGTCTGGGAGCATCTCAGCGCAGGAATCTCAGGTCCACAAGGATGTGCTTTTCTCCTGGCACTGCTTTCTTGGTGGTGTGAGGTTCCAATGTGTCTCTGCTAGCTTCTCTCTTTTATATCTCAAAAGAGATTGGCTTAAGACACTATCCAATCTTGTATACCTCATCAGTATAACTGCCGCTAATCGATCTTATTAGATCATAGTGATTGAATTTATAACACATAAGGAAATCACATCGGATTACAAAATGGTACACAATTATACAATACTGGGAATCATGACCCAGCCAAGTTGACAGATATTTTGGGAGGACACAATTCAATCCATGACACTTTCTATGACACATCTTTTCAAATCTTTTTAACATTTTCAATTGTTTTTTCTGTCTTCTTGATTTGAAAGAGGTCTTTATATATTTTTCATATAAGTATTTTGTGAGAAGTACGTGCAGTGGTTAAGCATTCGGCTGCTAACCAAAAGGTTGGCAGTTCAAACCCACAGCTGCTCCTTAGAAACCCTATGGGGCAGTTCTACTGTTTCCTATAGGGTCACTATGAGTGGGAATCAACTCAGTGGCAATGAGTTTGGTTTTGGTTTATGCTTGACAAGTACCTTCTTCCTCTCTGAGAGCTGCACTCTCTTACTG